TCCCTTTCATTAAATAGTTTTTGAATTCCACCAGGTAATAAATTGTTCCTGGCTTTATACATAAACACAGCAGTCTTATATCCCACTAAATCGAAAAATTTTAACAATTTAGACTGTATGAAAGCTCCAATGGTGTGATCCCTATACCCCATCTTATGCACAATTCTTATCGCTCTTTTTTGTAATATATACAATGGTTGAAGTGAGCATTTGTATGTATTTCCCCAGTTTTCAACGCCATACTCTAAGTATGGTAATATCAATGAAGAATACAAAATGCGTAGTGCTTTCCCGTCCAAAATATATCTCACCCTTGTCAATATCGATATGTTTTTTGCTATTTTGTTCTGAACATATCTGATATGCGATTTCCAGGACAATTTGTCATCAACCATGACACCTAGATTTAACCTGACAAATCAGATTACATTGGATAAGTTAAAGTTGAAAGACTCAACACACATTTAAAATTCTCAATGGCAGATTCAGACTGAAAATTATTTTATTTTAGGTGTGACTGACTAGGAAGACATGGATGTCATACTTTTTGTGCTTCACGGTAGTGCAGGAGCCACAAATCAAGGCTGGAATGTGCGGCCCTGTTGTTGCAGGATTTTTTCCATGTAAACTGGATAATGTGTTTTTGCTCTGTCTGCTTCCTGTCCTAGTTTGAAAAGAAGTGCAAATGTGTTATTCATTCATTCTGCTTCAGCTCTGATAAGCCACGATGTAACAAAAAAAAGGCAATTTTACTCTGAAGGTAATTTTATGGAGTCTTGGGTTTCATACCTCCCCCTGCCAATGAAAGTGAGAGCAGGGTCAAGAAGTCTAAAAAGAAAAACACAGATTGTAATTACTATTCTCAGCATGTATTCACCAAAACTAGCTCTGTTTCTGTGAGAAAAGTGTTCCACAAAACATGATTTTTACTTTCATTTCAAATGTTCTGAAACCAGATTAAACAGCACCTCACCGATGGGATTCTCTGATGGTAAATGTTAACCGCCTTGTTCAAGCTGGATTCACAGTGCAGCACATTGCAGTATGTTCACGTGACTTCTCTGAAACTCTGGCTGCACTGAACAACCGTCTAACTCGGTATTTGTGTTTCATTATAGTGTCTGCCAAGGAGCTGCTGAAGACCTGCTGTGAGACAGGGGAGAAATGGGCTTCAGTTAATGGTCACTGCAAAAACATGGAGCCACCCACAAAAGATAGGCACTCCATCTGCTGGTAAAACCATTGTTAAACACCCATAAACATCATTTATCTTCTAGCACACTGTACATCATTTTAAATCAGCTTCTGAGGAAAGGTGGCTGACTTAAAGTACTTCACTGGACTTAACAAGGAAGCACAGAGGCATTATCGAATCAGGTCAGCTGGTCAAACTTCAAGCATGTCTTAAAGACATAAAGGCCTGGATGACCTGCAACTTCTTACTTCTAAACTCTGACAAAACTGAAGTTATTGTGCTTGATCCTGAAAACCTTAGAAATCTGCTGTCTAATCATATAGTTACTTTAGATGACATAGCTCTTGCCTCCAGTACTACTGTGAGGAACCTTGGAGTCATCTTTGATCAGAATATGTCCTTTAAATCACACAAAATCCAAGTCTCTAGATCTGCCTTCTTTCTCCTGTGCAATATTGCAAAAATCAGGAGCATCCTGTCCCAAAGTGATGCTGAAAAACTGGTCCATGCATTTGTTACTTCCAGGCTGGACTACTGTAACTCTTTACTATAAGTATATCCCAATAATTCCCTAAAAAGCCTCCAGTTAATCCAAAAGGCTGCAGCCAGAGTACTGACAGGAACTAGCAAGAGAGATCATATCTCTCCCATATTAGCTTCTCTCCACTGGCTCCCTGTAAAATTCAGAATAGAATTTAAAATCCTTCTCCTAACATACAAAGCCCTTAATGACAAGGCTCCATCATATCTTAAAGACCTCGTAGAGCCTTATCATCCTAACAGAGCACTTCGCTCTCAGAGTGCAAGTTTACTTGTGGTTCCTAGAGTCCACAGAAGCAGAATGGGAGGCAGAGCCTTTAGCTATCAAACTCCTCTCCTATGGAACCAACTCCCAGTCTCAGTTCAGGAGGCGGACACCCTCTCTACCTTTAAGATTAGACTTAAGACGTTCCTTTTTGATAAAGCTTATAGTTAGGGCTGGATCAGGTGACCCTGAGCCTTCCCTTAGTTATGCTGCTATAGGCCTAGGCTGCTGGGGGGCCCCATGATGCTCTGAGTTTCTTTCCCCTCCCCTCCCCTCTCC